TCCTGACCCATTTCACTTGCAAAGCTTCAATTTTCCTAAAACTTCACTAAGCCACAAACCCCAATGAAATTACAAAACAAAGAAATTAAATATTCTCATATCATTGCAAGGTGAAAATGATAATTTTTTTCTAAATTATTACTCTCACATATATGAGAATCAGGTTAAATTTCATTAGCTGGAATTTCATTGGTATTTAGTTGGTCATATTAAACACCTTTGGGGACACTTCAAGAAAGAAATACTTTACATTTTTTAAATGAGCTGACTAACGTTTCGTCATGGGTCATTTTTTTCTGATTTGGGGATTATGTTGTTTTCTTCAGGTTTTCTCTTTGGCTTTCTGGGTGTTCTCATGATCGTACCAAGTTAGTATATGTAAAATTCTTAGACCAGTGCCTGGCATGTAGTAAATGCCCAATGAGTGTTAGCCATCATCATCGTCATTATTATCATTATAAAAGTATTTTAGAAGCACTTAGAGTAATTCTATTGTGATTCCATTTGTCTGGAGCTTTAAAGACTCCCTTGTTTATCTTTGCGTCGACTTTGAAGAAGAACAAAAATAAGTATATCTAGACTATGTGAATTATAAAAACAATAATTTTACAGGAATCAGAATGCTCTGATTTTAGGATTTTTCCTCTTCTCAGTTGGCTTTGCATCCCTCAGCTAATTATCCTGTAGAACACACCATATTCTGCTGTGAAGTTTACGAGGTAGCCTTGAAATTAGAAAAAAAGACCTTTCCTTCCTGGGTTTAAGACCCACACATCTGAGGTGGTAGGCATCTTAGATATCTCTGGTGGATGGACCAAACAACATACCAATATCATGAGAAAACTGCTTTAAACATCATCTACTCTTTCACATAAATACCCTATTATTACTTGTCAAAAGTCACAGTTTCCCTATAAGTATTTCAGTGGTTCTGGGGTGTTTAAAAAAAAAAAAAGCAGTAGTAGACATGTCATAACACACACGACATTTATAACTAAAATAAACATGGAATAAAAGCATCTTCGGGCTTCCCTGGTGGCGCAGTGGTTGAGAGTCCGCCTACCGATGCGGGGGACACGGGTTCGTGCCCCGGTCTGGGAGGATCCCACATGCCACGGAGCGGCTGGGCCCGTGAGCCATGGCCGCTGAGCCTGCACGTCCGGAGCCTGTGCTCCGCGATGGGAGAGGCCGCGGCGGTGAGAGGCCCGCGTACCGCAAAAAAAAAAGCATCTTCAACAGAAATACTCTATGCCAACCAATAGTATGTATAGAAATATTAGGTAATTAGTGACCACTAATTCAATAGCAAATATTTACCGAGTGCTTATAATACCCCAGACGTTGTTGTAGCCACTGCCAATACAGCAATAAGCAAAATAGACAAAAGTGCCTGCTCTCATTGGAGTTTATATTCCGAAAGGTGGAGGCAGACAACAAACAGATAATATGTCAGGGGTGATAAGTGCTCTGGAGAAGGATACAGCAGGGCATGGGGATAGAGGATACCTGAGCGTGGGGCAGGGGCAGGGGCTCGGACTTATATATATAATATGAGCGGAGACCTGAAGGAAGCGAGGGAAGAAGCATGCTGAGCTGAGACAACAAGATTACTGGCAGGGACAAGGGCAAGTGTAAGACCTGGGGTGTAAATGTGTTTGGAAGCATCCAAGGAACAGCCTTGGATGTCCACAGTGGCCAGAGACAAGTGAATGAGGATGCAGTGAGGAGAGGAGGGCAGGGCAGTACCAAGGGTGGACAGGCATTGTATGTCCCTTCCGTCTCACTCTGAGTGAGATGAGACACCACGGGCAGGTTTGGAGCCAGGAGGACATGTCCTGACTTCCATTTGAGAAGGGTAACAGTGGCTGGGTTCTATGGAGAAGAGACTGTCGGAAGGAAGGGAGGAAGCAGGGAGACTAGTTAGGAGACATTTGCAGTAATTCGGGCACCATATGATGGTGGCCTGGCCCTGGATGGGAGCAGAGGAGATGGTAAGAAGGGAGGCACTCTGGACATGTTTTGAAGGTATTGCCAGAAGATTTGCTGATGGATTGGAAGAGGGTGTGAGAAAGAGCTGAGAGGAGTACTTACTCAAGTGGGGAATCCTCGTCATATTGATTAATGGCTTCAAAAGATTTCTGAAAAATTGTGACGATAAGACTAATAATGCAAATGTAAGAGAACAACAGAGAAATGGCAAAAGTGACACTTTTCCTACTCCTATAAAACAAATTATCAAGAAAACTATATGAAATAAAGATTTATACCCAATGTTGTCATTAGCAGTGAGCCTCATCCTAAGTAGATATTGTTCCTTGAGCTTTTTACCAAATGACAGTGTGAAGCCATTGTGATTAACAAAACATACCATCATGGTTAAAAATAAGCATCAGGGGGCTTCCCTGGTGGCACAGTGGTTGAGAGTCCGCCTGCCGATGCAGGCGACGCGGTTTCGTGCCCCGGACCGGGAAGATCCCACATGCCGCGGAGCAGCTGGGCCCGTGAGCCATGGCCGCTGAGCCTGCGCATCCGGAGCCTGCGCTCCACAACGGGAGAGGCCACAACAGTGAGAGGCCCACGTACCGCAAAAAAAAAAAAAAATCTAATTTGGTATATGCTTTGTAGTGTGTGTGTGTGTGTGTGTGTGTGTGTGTGTGTGTGTGTGTAGAAAGATGAGAGAGAGGGAGGGAGGGAGGGAGAGAGAGAGAAAGAAAGAGAGAGAGAAGTTCATGAACATAATTTGTAAATAAAAATATACATAAAATACAAGCATTCTCAACCGATTGTCCGAAGTCAGTGTTGTAAGTATGGATGGTGTTGAAAACTCTAGCAGAAACATGACATAAACAAAATTTTAAGATGTTAATCTGGGAGTGGAGGTTTAGTGAGGTTCAAATTGATAGGGCGGCTTAGAAGCTAAAGGCTGGGATATTTTAATTTGCAACAGGGGTGATGCTTTATATTTATGCATGGGATCTGATTCCATCCACTTGTCAACCCTGTGAAGTCAGGTCAGGAAAGGCATTATCTCCTTTTCACAAGGAGTGAATGGAGACTTGGGTTGGGATTCTTTCCTGAGCTCGCTCGGGTAGAAAGTGACAAGGCCAGGATTCACATTAGGCCTGTGACTCTACAGTCAGTTCTCTGTTAAGACACCCAGTAAATATATTTGAAAACATTAAGTACTTACCCTTGGCTGAGCACTGTACTAGGTAATGTGGCAGCATCTGAAAGAGAGGGAAAGTTGCTCCATTTCCACATAGTCTTTGGTCTGGGACTAGGGACAGTAAACAGATGCCTGTGAAATAATTTACTACGTTTACAAAGCAATGTACTTGTAAAAGTGAAATAATAAATTTAGTTCATAAGAATTCAGGGGGGAAAACTATAAGTTAGAACATTAGTCATTCAAGCAGAGTAGGGTTAGCAGGTACAGTAGGGCTCCTATGATGGTAAGGTTCCCAGCTCAAACCAAGGTAAAGAAGGAAATTCACTGGCTCACAGATGTGATAACTACAGGCTTGCAGGGTGCAAAGGACGTCACCAGGAATCTGTCCATCACCCAACACTGTTTTCCTCTGCCTTAGGTTTAGTCCCAGGCATTGGTAATCTGGCCACAGCAGCTCCCGGTTAAATCCTACAAACTCAGCCCTTCTACTGGAAAAGAAAGCATGTCTTTCCTAATGGCACAAGCAAAGTTAGAGCTCTCTTAAGGCTTGGATTTTGTGCCTGTCTCTGAACCAATCACTGTGGCTGGGGGATGTTGTGCTCTGATTGGCCAGACCTAGGTCACATGCCCAATCTTAGGTAGGGGTGGTATCAGCCCCATCAGAATAGCATGGGCTGGGTAGGGAGAGGGTTGGTTCCCCAGAGTAAAATAGAGGTGTCCCCACTAGAAAGGAAAGTGGCTGCCAGGACATAAAACAACAGGATCATTACAACAGGATAAGATTCCTGAAGGAAGTAATTGTAAAATTTTGAGTATTTGAGTTAGTCTGTTTTTAATCTTATGGAATTCTGGGAGAGAGTAAGTGGAAGAGATTCATGATATGCAGGCAGACCCTGCAGAACACTGATTTGAGTTTTTACACTTCACTTTTCCTTTCCTTTAAGTCTTAAAGACACTATTTCTTCAAGCAGGGATGCCCTGAGCTGCGACTCACCATCTCCTTATTGTGCCTTTTCTGGTCTCCACCCTCCTGAAGGTCTTCCTATCTCTGGAGCCCCCAGAGTCATCCTTTCAAACCCTCTCCCAGCCACTCACTGGCCTTTTGTGGTGACTTCTCCCCTTTAGAGCTGCCTTTAGTGACCTAATAATAACCTGTTATCGAAGATGCAAGAGACAGTCCTCAGCTCTTCCCACTCATCCGGGCTCCCCAAGTTTGGCCCTCTCCTCTTTTTAAGTGTGAATTTCCTCCTTTCCACAGGTTTTCAATTCTCCCATTAAGAAATCCCATCCACTCTCTATATTATGATTCAGCAATCCATCCCATGTTCTTATCCCTGCCTTCCATCAGTCATATCTACAGGCCCTGCTGACCCCCTTGTGGGACTTTGAATATTAGAGAATGGTCACACGTTGCAAAGTCCTGCTCTAGAAGGCACAGCACTCCTTTTCCTTCTCCTCCAGTGGCCTTTATCTCTCCAGGCTCCCTCTCCTGTAGCTCTGAAGCAGAGATGATAAGCTTCCCAGAGGAAGGCATTTGCAAAGTGCTCTGAGTGCTTTGATGAAATTGATTGGGTAAATGGAAACATATTTTTTGCAACTGCTTTAGCCTGTAAGAAAAATAAGTTATGTAAATGCAATGATTCACCATTTAATAAATAATGAAGATTGTTTTATAGCTTTAAATATTATTTCACAACAAGAGATTTTTTTCCAACATTAAAAAACCAGAATGGTTGATTTGAAATGTTTAAAAAATAAATAGTGCTTGATATTTTTAAAGCAGTACTTTCATGATCAATGATTGAATTAAAATTTTGTTTAATTTTTCTAGCTTCTCTCCTGAAGGGTTTGAAACATGCCAATATTGTGCTGCTCCATGACATTATCCACACCAAAGAGACACTGACATTCGTTTTTGAATACATGGTGAGTTGCCCCAGCATTTTATAAAGCATAAGGGAAAAGCCTGGTGCTTGTATAATGAATCTGTTAATATTTTATGGCATGATAAAACTTCCATTACAATGTGGAAAGTGTCATGGAACTTTTCATTATTGTGATTAGTGGAGCCTATTTTTCTTATGCTCATTCTTTAGTCCTGCTCCTTTACCCCCTATATTTGCTGCCTTTTCCCCCCCGCACGAGCAATAATAAACACTTTGAGTTTGCCTCCTAAATAAAACTTTTGCACTTATTTTTTTAATCTATTTTTAATCACTATCCGAGCAGAACCCAACATTTTTTCATTGACAATAAAGACATAAACCACAAGGTTTTAAAAAATTCTATACAAGTTTACTAAAGAATACATCATTTTGTATTTCTGAAAGAAAAAACTGTTCAAATATTAGCAGAAAGGAATCATAAAGCATGTGTACCTGACTTGCCTCCAAGGACACTGAAGAGTACAAAATCCCCATGTCATTGTGTTCAGGGGCAGTCATTTAAAATGAGCCTCTCTTGTGCCGAGAAACAGGCTTCCTTCTAAGAGCAGCCAGTTAGGAAGGCACACTGTGTTTGACTTTAACAGTGGTGTCTCAGAAAACCTGGTTGTGTACCTTTTGCACCTTATTCTCAAAAATTCTGAACTTTGTAATACCTTTGAGAGTCAAGTGTGTGGTCTGCTTTGTGACACTGACCAAGCACTGCTAATGTCTCTCTCTCCACCATTTTGTGTAGCACACAGACCTGGCTCAGTATATGTCTCAGCATCCAGGAGGGCTTCATCCTCACAATGTCAGGGTGAGTACTTTGAGGGTCGGGACTCTCCTCTGGCTTGCCCACAGCAGAAGAATCTTGAAACAGACTGCCATCACAAACTGAAGTTCCATGATACTAATAAGAAGATGGATATCATTGATATTCTAGGGGAAAGTAAAAAAAAAAAAAAAGATTTGCCTCAAGATATGGAGCAATGTCTGGCTGTTTTCTGGGCAGCCTAACCCTGTCAGTCATTGTCATCATGCAAATGTGTCTTTAGAAGTATAAACCATGAAAAAGAATTGCATTACAAGAAAAAATGTGAAGTTAGGCCATCGTAAAATAAATACTTTCTTCATAGCAGACTACTGTGGTCTGTGATAAAGTTTGTGTTGTACCTATAGTTCCCCACTACAACTAGCAAACAAAGTACCCTTGTTGGATCTTTATCAGTTATCCTTTTGCCTGTTCTATCAGATCCGATTATATGTGGGACCAACTTCCATTTTTCCAGTCATTGGAATAGAAATAATAATAAACTCTTAACTAGCTGTAATTCTACATCTGTTATAAATTTTAGAAAGCATTTGTATTTCATACTTTTCATTCCCTAGGGTTTTATTGGCATTAATTAATAGACTGGCCCTTAACATAACCATATGAGATTTGTATATGATGTACTCATTCATTTAACTAATATTTATGTGTTTATTAATTCATTCATTCAAGAAATATTTATTGACTACTTAGTGCCATGTTAAATCCTGAGGTTTCAATAATGAATAAGTTGTGTTTCTTATTTTCAATGAGCTAAAGCCCAGTAGGATATATGGAGTTAGATAGGTAGTGAGAAGCAAAGTTATAAGGGCTATGGCCATGTTAACTAGGAATACTCTGAGGACTCATAGTAAGGGGACCTAATCCAGTCGTGGAGGCAAGGGGGAAAGGAAGGTTTGAAGACAGGGGTTTGAAAAGTGTGAAAACATTTTTAAATAGAGGAAAATGAAATAGAAAACTAACTAGGGAAACCAAGAAGGAATGTCTAGTAGTGTGTTAAGGACGCTGGTGAGGATGAAATCCATTAAATTATCTACATGATCATGAGATTTCTTTCTTTCTTTCTTTCTTTCTTTCTTTTTTTCCTTCCTTCCTTCCTTCCTTCCTTCTTTCTCTCTCTCTCCCTCCCTCCCTCCCTCCCTCCCTCTTTCTTTCTTTCCTTCCTTCCTTCTTTCTCTTTCTTTCTTTCCTTCCTTCCTTCCTTCTTTCTCTCTCTCTCCCTCCCTCCCTCCCTCCCTCCCTCTTTCTTTCTTTCCTTCCTTCCTTCCTTCCTTCTTTCTTTCTTTCTTTCTTTCTTTTTCTCTCTCTCTCTCTCTCTGGCAGTGCTTAGCAGTTCAAATAGAGGAGCAGAGAAAGTAGATAGTTGGATTGATTGATAATTGGGGCTTTGCCAGACATGTGAGAGAAAAAGACAAGTGGGCAAGATATTTGGCGATTGTCAAGAGAGAGGTTAAAGGGATGGTCAGAGACTTCTAAACTGAGTCCAATCTGAGGGAAGGAAGTGAAGATAGGCAGGTTGCTGATAGCTAGGGGAGGGCAGAAGAGTCAAGGAACTAGAGGTTTGATTAAATAGAAAAACAGTTGGAGAAAGAGTAACTGTGAGAAAGATAGAACATTTTCAGGCTTGAGTGACTCTCATTCCAAACACTGTGCTAAGTGCTTAGCAAAATAGAAAGACATAGAAAACATGATTCCTCAAAGGACACAGAGCCAAAAACAGGAGATAAGACATACACACCAATACTATTACAGGACATTTGTGAATAACACCAAGTAAGAAATAAGACCTAACGTTGTAGACATGCAAAGAAGTAAAAGATATCTTCTCATTTTAAGAGGTTTCAATAAGCCAGACCTTTAAAGTTGCAATGCATTTCAAGAGGCTGGAATAGGGGAAGATGTTAGAGAAAGAAGGAATGTTTTCAGCAAAGGTACAGAGCAGGGAAGTAGAGGATGCGTTCAAGGAAGAGGACCCCAGAGCCATAGACTGTTAGTGTTGAAGGGACCAGAGTGTTTTTCACTCTTCAGGTTCTGACCCACTAGTGGGCTGTGAAATCAGTTGGTGATTAGCAACCAGCATTTTAAAAAATGAAATGGAATGGATGAGAAAAGAATAGAAAATATTATGGTATATTATGTTTAGTAAGAATAAGGATTATTTTGTGCAACTTTTTTTTCCATTTGAAGCTGTGTTTCTTTCAATGTATGAATGTGAAAACTGGAAACATATATATTTCTTAGTGGGGGATGCAATTAAAAAAAAAAAGCCTTAAAAACACTGGGTTGGTCTAACTTTCTTTTTCTGAAGATTTAGAATCCAAGGTTTGAAAGGACAAATGTTTTGCCTGAAGTTGTAGAACCAGCTTTTGCCATTGCTAAAAAGGATTCTTGGTTAAGATTCTTTTCTACCAGTGCCATACTGCATCTCTGGTTCTGTTGGCCTGAAATAGAGACTATCTTAGTGAAATGGAGTATATTAGTCTGGAGAAATAGATTGGGTAGGTGGCTGAGAGCCTCACTTTCTAAGATGTGGACTTTATTCCTTAGACAGTAGAGTCATTAAAGGGGTTTGATTGAAAAAGTATGACACGATCAGAAGGAAATGTATGTAATTGTGGTCTGTGGGATGGATTAAAGAGAGGAGACTGGAGTCAGGGATTCCAGTTAGGAGTTTATTGATGTGGGCTAGCCTAGTGCCTCTCAAGCTTCAGTGAGCAGATGAATGACCTGGGGATCTGATTCAGTTAGTCTAGGGTGAAGCCTGAGCTTTGCATTTCTAGCATACTCTAAGGTGATACAGATGCTGCTGGCGGAGGACCAAACTTTGAGTAGCAAATTTCTAGGTAAGAAGTGATAAATTATGGTAGTGAAGGTACAAATAGAAAGGAATGTGAAAAACAAAAACAAGAGTTCAGCCAGGACATGGTGACTAACTGGGCTTGTGGAGGGAAAAGATGAGGTCAAAGATGACTGATTTGGGCTGTGATATACCTGGAGAATTATAGCTCTATTAACAGAAATAAAAGAAGTCGACTTAGAGAGAAGGCAGAAGAGTCCTGTTTTAGACATGATGAGCTTCTCGTTGAGGTGGGATAGCCAGAGGAAATGAGCAGTAGGCAACTGAAGAGGAGATTGGTTCTCAGGAGGAAGGTGTATGTTAGAGATGTAGATTTGAGGGTAACTGATGCATGGAGTTTGTAGTTAAAGACGAGAGAGTGGATAATCAAAAGAGCAAACACAAAGAGAAAAGAACTGATGGTAGAACTTTTGCTTTTGGGGGTGAGAAGAGGAACAGGACAGCAAGGGGCAGAGGGAAGCAGCTTTTACGAATATAGAAGATCCAGAAAAATGCATTTTTATGGAAGTCAAGGCAAGAGACAGTTTCAAGGAGGGCATGGTTGAGAGTGTCACAAAGTTGAAAATCATATTTGATAGCAAGGACTTTGTGGGTTTGTGAGGGGTACACTAATAAACAGAGGAATTTATTAGGGCTATATGGAAGCACAAAGGAAGAAGTTATCCAATCAAAGCAGATAGGACTAGGGATGAGTTCCCCACAGTAGAGGCAGCAGTGAAAATGCTGGGATGCCAGGGAGGGTATGGTATATTCCAAGAACTGAAGATAACTCAGGAGTTAAGCCTGGATTAGAATGAACAGAGTTGAGGGTGGTTAGAGCTGAGACTTGAAAGGTAAGTAGGAGCCAGAGCATGAAGGGCCCAGCTATGTCATGCTATTCCATGTGAGGAGCCATTCAATCATTTTAATAGGAGGTGATAAATTCAGATTTCCTTTTTGTAGAGCTCACTCTGATGACACTGTGGTGAATAGATTGGAAGGTGAGCAATACTGTTTTTTTTGAAATATTATAGTCCCCTGACCTCACTCTTCCCTTGTGTTTTCTCTACTCCCACCCCATACTGTCATTTCCTCCAGTCATTCTCTAAATGCTGGTGTCCATTAGGGTTCCGACCTTGACAGTGAGGCTCATGAGGACAACAGTGGTGCAGATGTGAATTGATGGTGGAGGAAACTGGATATATGTGCAATTAATTACTTAGCCAGAATTAATGGGAGGTGGAAGAGTCAGCAAATCCTTTTTCTAACTTTAAGTAATTAGGTGGATGATAGTGCCATTCACTGAAACAGAGAAATGGGAAAATCGATTTTGGAGGGATACAGTGGGTTAAGTTTTGGCATACTGAGCTTGAGGTGATTATGGGATGTCCAGGTGAACTTCAGACTATAGGGGTCTAACAGTTCAGGAAAGAGATCTGAGGTGGAGCTAAAGACTTTTAAATAATCAGAATACAGTTGTTAATTGAAGCAATGTTAGTGGATAAGATGGCTATGGGAGCACGTAAAGTGATAATAGAAGGTCAAGGATGGAACCCTAAGGAATATCAATATATTAGACATCAGTAGAGAAAGTGGAACCTATAAAAAGAACAGTCAGAGAAGTAGGAGAAAAATTAAGAGATTGTGGCACCAAAGTGGGGAGAGAGCTTCAGGAAGGAAGACGGTCAACAAAGCCAGATGCTGCAAAGAGAAGAAGTGAAAGGTATCCATTGGATTTTCGTAGCAAAAGACATTGGTGACCACAGTAAAAACATTATGAATAAAGTGATCGTAGCAGAAGCCATTTTGTAGGGGGATGAATTTCACACTTCAGAGGAAAAACAATTCCATATGATGGCAAGGCCCAGTGTGTGACCATGGGGAGTGAGGGGCTAAAGTGTGTTGGAGAAGCAGATCGTCGGAGTGTGGAGGGTGACTGGACATGTTCACATGGGCACTGATGTTAGGGAAGCAACAGCTGGGATCCGGGTGCCCAAGTCTTGAGTGAATGATGGAGAACGGTGGGGAGTCATGTGGATGACAGTGAGAAGAGGGATAGAAGAAGATGTGGCTCAATGGCATGAAAATCCAAACAACAAGGGTTTTTACTTGAGGATGGAGAAGCAATGGTTTTGAAGTGGTATTGGGA